CCATCAGCATCATCAACATCACCAGCAGCATCGTCATCAGCGACAACAGCAGCACCAACACCAACACCAACATCATGATCATCATCATCACCACCACCATCAGCATCATCATCATCATCATCATCATCATCATCATCATCACCATCATCATCATCACCATCATCACCACCATCATCATCATCATCAGCATCATCATAATCGTCATCATGATCGTCATCATCACCATCATCAGCAGCATCATCATCATCATGATCATCAACGTCATTATCATCACCATCATCACCAACACCAGCACCAACATCATCATCAGCATCAACATCATCACCATGAGCACCACCAGCATCAGCATCACAATCAGCATCAGCGTCATCATTCTCCTCATCCTCATCCTCATCCTCATCATCAGCACCAGCATCATCATCATCATCATCATCATCATCATCATCATCATCATCATCATCATCATCATCATCATCATCAGCATCAACATCACCATCATCACTGCTGCGCGCCCTCTCCTCCTCAGACCTCCTCCTCATCCTCCTGAGCCTCATCCTCCTCCTCATTGGGTTCCTTCTCCTCCTCCGCCCTCCCCCTCCTCCTCCTCCTCCTCCTCCTCCTCCTCCTCCTCGTTATCCTCCTCATTGCGCGTCTTCTCCTCCGCCTCCTCCTCCTCCTCCTGCTCATCTCCTCCTCCTCCTCCTCCTCCTCCTCCTCCTCCTCCTCCTCCTTCTCTTCCTGCTCCTCCTCCGCCTCCTCCTCCTCGGTCTCCTCCTCTCCTCCTCATCATCATCTTCCTCCCCCTCCTACTCATTGCGCCCTTTTTCTCCTCCGCCCTCCTCCTCCTCCTCCTCCAGTTCTCCTCCCCTCCACCTCTGAAGCCTCCTCCTCCTCCCTGCTTCTCTTTCTCCGCAGCCTCGTTCTCCTCTTCATTGCGCGCCTTCTCGTCCTCCTCCTCCTCCTCTCCTCCTCCTCATCATCATCATCATCCTTCTCCTCCTGCTCCTGCTCCTCCTCATTGCGCGCCTTCTCCTCATCCGCCCTCCGCCCCCTCTTTTTCATCCCCCTCTTCCTCCTCCTCCTCTCCTCCTCCTTCATCCTCCTCCTCCCTGGGCGTCCTCCTCCTCATCCTCATTCTCCTCCTCCTCTTCCCCCCTCATCCTCCTCCACCTCCTCCTCCTCCTCCTCCTCATTGCGCTCCTTCCCCTCATCCGCCCTCAGTATTCCCCCTGCTCTCCTCCCCCCCTCCTTCTCCTCCTCCTCCTCCATCCTCCTCCTCATCCCTCCTCCTCCTCATCATCATCATCATCATATCATCATCATCAACATCATCATCATCAGCATCACCATCATCATCATCATCATCATCATCATCATCATCAGCATCATCATCATCATCATCATCATCATCATCATCATCATCATCATCATCATCATCATCGTCATCATCATCATCATGATCATCATGATCATCATGATCATCATCATCATCATCATCATCATCATCATCATCATCATCATCATCATTCGCCTTCTCCTCCTCAATGCGCGCAGTCTCGTTGCGCTCAGTTTCCTCCTCCACCCTCATCGTGTTCCTTATCCTCCTCCCCTTCCTCCTCCTCTTAATCCCCCTCTGTCTCGCCATACTCATCATCATCATCAGCAGCATCATCATCAACATCATCAGCATTATCATCAGCATCAGCATCATCATCAGCAGCATCATCATCAGCATCATCATAACCATCATCATCATTATCATCAGCATCATCAGCATCATCATCATCATCATCATCATCATCACCATACTCATCATCAGCACCAGCAACGTCATCATCCTCATCAGCATCAGCATCATCAGTCGCAACATCAGCATCATCATCATCGTCAACAGCATCAACATCAACATCAGCATCATCGGTCTCAGCATCATCGTCAACATCAACATCATCAGCATCATCACAAGTATCACCATCATCGGCACCACCATGTGCATCAGCATCAGCAGCATCAGCATCAACATCAAAGTCATCGTCATCATCATCATCACCCTCATCATCATGATCATCATCATCAGCATCACCATCATCATCATAATCAGTATCATCATTATCATCATCATCAGCATCACCAGCATCACCATCGGCATCACAATCAGCATGAGCATACTCATCATCATTGCGCTCTTTCGCCACCTCCGCCCTTCTCCTCCTCCTCCTTCTCCTCCTCCTCCTCACTGCGTTCCTTCCCCCCCTCCGCCCCCCCTTCCTCCTCCTCCTCGTCCTCCTCCTCGTTCTCCTCCTCGTTCTCCTCCTGCTCATTGCCATCCTCCTCCTCATCATTATCCTCAGCCTCCTCCTCCTCCTCCTCAGTGTACTCCTTCTCCTCCTCCGCCCTCCTCCTCCTCCTCCTCCTCCTCCTCCTCCTCCTCCTCCTCATCAACACCATCATCAGCATCATCATCATCATCAGCATCATCATCATCATCGTCATCATCAGCATCAGCATCAGCATCAGCATCAGCAGCATCATCATCATCATCATCGCCACCACCACCACCACCCTCATCATCAGCATCACCATCCCAAACCGCAAGCATCATCACAACCGCCACCACCTGCATCATCAGCATCAGCCTCGTCATCAGCAGCATCATCATCAGCATCAGCATCAGCATCAGCATCAGCGTCAGCATCAACATCATCACCATCATCATTGCGTTCGTTCTCCTCCTCCTCCTCCTGCCCCTCCTCCTCCTCTCTTCCTCCTCCTCTTCCTCCTCCACCTCCACATTCAAATCCTCCTCCTCTTCCTCCTCCTCCCCCTCCTCATTGCGCGCCTTCTCCTCCTCCTGCTCCGTCCTCCTCAGTCCTCCTCATCCTCCTCCTGATCCTCTTCCTCCTCCTCCGCCCAGCCTCCTCCTCCTCCACCTGATCCCCCATCCTCCTCCTCCTCCTCCTCCTCCTCCTCCTCCTCCCCTTCTCCTCTTCCAACCCCTCCTCCTTCTCCTCCTCCTCCTGATCCTCATCCTCCTCCTCCTCCTCCTCTCCTCTTCCTCCTCCTCTGCTCCTCCTTTTCCTCCTCCTCCTCCTTCTCCTCATCATTGCGCGCCTTCTCCTCCTCCGCCCTCCTCCTCCCTCCTCCTCCTCCTCCTCTTCCTCCTCCTCCTCTTCCTCCTCCTCCTCCTCCTCCACAATTACTCAATATGAATAACACTCTCCCTCTTCCCCTGATGGCGTGCTGGGAGTAGCCGACCCCCCCCCGCGTACTGTTTTTTACACACAGGATTCCCGGGAGTTGGGTTTTCGCTTGCGTTTTTTTCACAATGCTGCTCTCGCTGAGGCGCCGGCCTCACTTCTGCTCCCGAATCGTTCCGAATCGTGCTCCCGCTGCAGCGTGGGCCTCATTTTCGGATCGGTGTTTTGTCTCCGTCGTTCAGGATGGCGTTCTCGCCCCAGCGCGGGCCTCTTTCTCGCGCGCCCATCCGCCCGCCACCACCGCGCCGCACCACGCCCCGCCCCGCCGCACGCACACCCACCGCCACTTCCACCCACCAACGCACGCACGCACGCACGCGCATCACCACCGCGCACCGCCACCACCACCGCACTACCCCACCCACCACCACCACGCTACACCGCGTCACACCACATCACACGCGCGCACACACAGACACACACGCACGCACGCACGCTCACACACACATACAGACGCACACGCGCACACACACACACACGCACACACAGACACACACACACACACACACCACCACCGCCACCACCACCACCGCCATCACGCACGTACGCACCTGGCCCACCACCAAACCACCAAGACGCCACACCACGTCACATCACAGCACACGCGCACACACGCACCCACACACACACATACACACCACCACCACAACAACCACAACCACGCACACACGCACGCACGTACGCGCACCACCACCCACTACGCACACGCGCGCGGAGCCACAGGTCCGCTACGACACGCGTCCGCGGATAGAGAAAATCAGCGCCATGGTAAGGGATGGGAGGGAGGGGTAGGATGTCAGATGTTGACGCGAGCGCACCTAACTTGTCCTCCTCCCCCTCCCCCTCCTCCTCCTCCTTCTCCTCCTCCTCCTACTCTTCCTCCTCCTCCTCCTTCTCCTCCTCCTCCTCCTCCTCCCCCTCCTCCTCGCCCTCCTCCTCCTCCTCCTCGTCCTCCTCAGCCTCATCCTCACCCTCCTCCTCCTCCTCCTCCATTTCTGCTCCTCCTCCTCCATTTCTGCTCCTCCTCCTCCTCATCATCAGCATCATCAGCATCATCATCATCATCATCATCATCATCATCATCATCATCATCATCATCATCAGCAGCAGCAGCAGCATCAGCATCAGCATCATCATCACCACCATCATCATCAGCAGCATCAGCATCAGCATCAGCATCATCATCAGCAGCATCAGCATCAACATCACTATGATCATCATCATTATCATCATCATCAGTATCATCATCACCATCGTAATCATCATCCTCTGCAGCAGCATCATCATAATCATCATAATATGTATCATCGTCACCTGCAACATCAACATCACCATCATCATTAGCATCATCAGCATCATCATCGGTATCACAACCTGCATTATCATCAGCAGCATCAGCATCAGCATCAGCGTCATCGTCATCAGCATCAGCATCGTCCTCATCCTCATCATGATCATCATCAACATCATCATCAGCATCATCATCATCAGCATCATCATCATCATCATCATCATCATCATCATCATCATCATCATCATCATCATCATCATTATTATCATCATCATCACCATCAATATCATTACGTTCCTTCTCCTCCTCCGCCCTCCCTCCTCCTCATCCTCCTCATTCTCCTGCTCCTCCTCCTCATCATTATCATCATCATCATCATTGCGCTCCTTCTCTCCGTCCTCCTCCTCCTCCTCCTCCTCCTCCTCCTCCACCACCCTCCTCTTCAGAAGCTCCTCGAAGCCCGCGAAGAAGCCCTGCCCAGCGAACGAGGGCCTGCGCACCTCGCCCGGGGGCTCTTCGCCGGGCCCGCGGGCATCGGGCAGCAGCTCCTGGGTGGCGGGGGCGCCGCCCGACTCGCCCCGCCGAGAGGAAGGCCCCGACCCGCCCGTCGGGCCGCCCGAGGGCACCCCGAGCTCCGACGACGAGGCGACGAGAATGACGACGACGACGACGACGACCTCGAAGAGGCGACGAAGACGAAGACGAAGACGAGGACGACGACGACGACGACGACGACGGCGGCGACGACCTCTTCGTCTTCGTCGTCGGCACGATTTTCTCAATCCAGCGGTTTGTCCTCGACTTCGGCCCCCTTGCCGTCGGTGAACAGAGACTGGCATAAGCAGATGGTGGGGGCATAGGATAAGGAAACCTTCGATCAGGATTCCAGGGTCTGGAGGCCAATGGAACTCCAATCGAGGCTTGGCCATGGATATCACCGCCGCACTCATCAGATAAGGGATCCCCCAGGGTCTGAAGCCTCCTGGGCCCATTCCTTAACGAATGCCCCCACCGTACGTCGACTTCCGGAGGTCTGGGTGGATTTCTCGGATCGGCGCCTCCGGCGCGGCGCCTGGAGCGCTCCGCGCGCCAGGGAGAGGGGAGAGGGGGAACCCAGCGTCGATTTAAGAAAGCCGCGCGGACCTCTGAAAGTTTGTGCTTATGGAATGGTTGGTTAGGGCCCTGGGCCATCAAAAATAGACCCGTGGCGAAACAATTGGCCCTGGGGGCCGCACATGGAGAAGATCAGATCTTCGGATGCCTGTGCTTGGGGCGCCCGCAAGGACGCTTCCTCGGGGCGCCCCTTTGGGCGCTTCCTTGAGGCGCCTGGAGGTGCGTGCCAGGACGCCTCCTTCGGTCGCCCGAAGGTGCCTGCCAGTGCGCTTCCTTGGGGCGCCCGAAAGCAGCCCAAGCAGGAGGGCACCGACTCCACCCCCGCACCTCCTCGCGTTGTGAAAGACATCACAGCGCCAACTATGTTGTAATATCGGCCCCCGGGGACCCTCACCGAGCCCCGCAGGACCGACAGAAAACTGCTCAGGTGAGAGGCCGGCGGCTGGGGAAGGCGCCGAGACGTCTGAGGGCCCACGACGAGAAGAGGCCACGCGATACGACCAAAGATCGGGGGGACGTAAGACCTGGGTACAGGGGACTCGGAAATCCCCGACGAGGTCGTCAAAAAAATGACGAGGCCGAGCCTGCATTTTGACGAGGCCTCCCGCTGCAGACATCCCACGAAACTCCTCCTCGTCAAAATCCTAGGCGCGGTCGTCAAAAAACGATGGCGAACCCCAGTGCTGGCAAACCCGGGTCTTACGCTCCCCCGAAAAGAGCATGCATCCGACGACGTGATGGCACCACGCGCGGCCCCAAAGTCCCGAGCCCTTCCTCGTGGGCAGTGGCTCGACCCAAATGGTGCCGGGGCCCGACCACGGGCCCCCGAGCCCGACGGGGAGGCAAAATGCCCGGACTGCTGCGCAGATCACTCCGCCAGAGATCTGGGCTGAAGGGCGAACGCGGGAGGGGGAACCGGCTCAGAGGGGGAGCGTCGATCTGGAATCGGAGATACACTTTTTTTAACTTGCGCGAGAAGGTCGCCCCGTGGCTAAGGAGGAGAGAGGAGAGCAGCAAGGGGGGGGAGAGCAAGAGGAGAAGCAAAAGCAGCAGCAGCAGTGCAAAAGAGGCGCGGCCGGCGGCCGACGCCTGGCGCCCCGGCTTTGTGGGGCGCTCGTCCCGGCCAGCGGCGCCCTCCGATAGGTCCCTGACCCCGTATGCCGAGTCCGCACGTTCCTGGGCGGGGTACGCTATCGGGCCCATGTCGGCGACGAATGGGCGATTGGGGGTCGATGCATCACCCCCTGAGCCTATCCCTCATGAATGTTGCCCCCGATGGGTATCTGGGACAGACTGGGCCCAGGCCAGGCGGTCGAGACCTCTTGTGCCCCGCGGCCCGGGAGGACGATGGAGGCAGAAGCGGTTTCCCGAAGGCACCGAAGAAAACTACTTCGCGCGAGCGACGGCTCGGCCCCTGCAAAAGGGCGCACGCGCGCCGAGCACCTGTAGACACCACCGTTGCCCTGCTTCGGACGGCGCCACGCGGCGGAGGGACGAAGTGAAGGAGGATGGAAGGAGGAGGAGCACAGGAGAGACGAAGTAGGAGCAGGAGGAGGAGGAGGTGGAGGCGGAGGAGGAGGAGAAGGAGGAGGAGGAGGAGGAGGAGGAGCGGAATGAGGAGGAGGAGGAGGAGGAGGAGGAGGAGGAGGAGGAGGGAGGAAAGTGGGATTCCTTTCAGAATCCCCGCCGCCTCGCGCTCCGGGCTCACCGGCGCCCGCGGCAGCGCACCGCGCCCGTTGGCGGCGGGCAGGGCCGAGGCCTCGGGCCAGCCCTCGCGTTCGGCGCGCGCGGCCAGCTCTCGCTGGAGCTGCCGCGAGGCGGGGCGGTCCTCTGGGAAGTAGGACCTGGGGAAGGGGGGTCTCCTCCTCGCGCGTGGGCGGGATCAGTCCCACCAATTCCTTTGGGCGTGAGTGGTTTAGGTAGCCTTCTCTGTCCTCAACCCCCCAACCCCCCTTCTTCCCCTGCTGGGAGGGGTTTACCCCTCCCCCTACCCCCTCCCCCTGGGTCTGGAGAGGGCGGGCCGCGGGTCGTTGGAGGGGTCTTTTTCGACTCATGGGAGGGCTAAAAAAACGACGACCCTCACGAGGATTCTGGCCCCGACGGGGGGGCTGAGAAAAAAATCCCCCCTCTTCTGTGAAGCCAAAAACATCGATTTTACTAGGGTTTTGGCCCCATTTTGGGCTTCTGAGGGGGCAGCGCTCATCGTCCTTCATAGCAAAATCATTGATTTTACAAAGGTTTTGGGCTCATTTTGTCCTTCTCAGGGGGCAGCTCTCATTTGCGCTTCTGAAGAGGTCGCACGAGGCCCTAAGATGGCCCCAAGAGGCCCCCAGGAGGCTCCCAAGAGGCCTCCAGGAGGCCCCCAAGAGGCCCCCAAGAGGCCCCAAGAGGCCCCTAAGAGGCTCCCAAGAGGCCCCCAAGAGGCCCCAAGAGGCTCCAAGAGGCCCCCAAGACGCCCCCAAGAGGCCCCCAAGAGGCCCCCAAGAGGCCCCAAGAGGCTCCAAGAGGCCCCCAAGAGGCCCCCTGGGGCCGCCAAGAGGCCCCCAAGACGCCCCAAAAGGGGACGAGGTGCCCGAACGCCTCACGCCACGAGGAGCCCGAACGACTCACACCAGGACGAGGGGCCCGAACGACTCACGCCACGAAGAGCCCGAACGACTCACACCAGAAGGAGGGGCCCGAACGACTCACACCAGGACGAGGCGCCCGAACGACTCACACCACGAGGAGCCCGAACGACTCACACCACGACGAGGGCCCCGAACGACTCACACCACGAGGAGCCCGAACGAGTCCACCAGGAGGAGGGGCCCGAACGACTCACACCAGGACGAGGGGCCCGAACAACTCACACCACGAGAAGCCCGAACGACTCACACCAGGACGAAGAGCCCGAACGACTCACACCACGAAGAGCCCGAACGACTCACACCAGGAAGAAGGGCCCGAACGACTCACACCAGGACGAGAAACCCCAAACGACTCAAACCACGAGGAGCGCTTTCTCTCCCTCCTCCTCCGCCTCGTCCTTCTCCCGCTCCCACCACAAGGAGGATGTACCAGAAGGCGGGAGGAAGGAGGAACAGGGGAGATATGCGGGGGCAGGCGGAAACACGCCTGACAAACACGACTGTCGGCATGCTTCGCACGAGTTGCTGTTTTGAGATGGGCTGGTGGGGATACGCGAAGCGTAAAGAATTTTTGTTCGTTTGTTTTCCTCGCGCGTCGGCGGTGGAGGGGGTCTCCTCCTCTTCCTCCTCCTCCTCCTCCTCCTCCTCCTCCTCTTCTTCGTCTTCCTCCTTCTACTCCTCGCCCTCCGCTTCCTCCTCCTCCTCCTCCTCCTCCTCCTCCTCTTTCGAAAACATGGTACCTCACCTCCCATTTGCCTCCTCCCCCCTCCCGCCTCCCTCCAACCTCCAGGCCCGATGGCCTACCTCCGACCTCCTCCCCTTCCTCCTTTATCATACCTCCTAACTATCCCTCCTCCTCCTCCTTCTCCTCCTCCCCCTCGTGCATCAGGCCTCCGTTCTTGTCCTACAATATACATAGTTCCCTAAACCTCCACCTGCTGCTGCTGCTGCTGCTCCTTCTTCTCCTCGTCCACCTGTTCTGCCTCCTCCTCCTCCTCCTTCTTCTCCTCCTCCTTCTCCTCCTCCTCCTTCTCCTCCCACGGACGTTCCCACGTCCTACCTCATCTTGCCTCCTCCTCCTTCTCCTCCTCCTCCACCTCCTCCTCAATCAATGTACCAATCAGTCAACTGAGGAAGGCAATGCAACTCGTAATATGTACAAGGATCGGGGCGGAACGGGCGAAGGGACATGGAGACATATGATACCGTGCACGGGTGGGAAGAGGGAGGCCGAGACCTGCAACCCCAGTCAGGAGGTCTTCTCACTCCGTGAGCCATGCAATCGCTGCTGCTGTGGAGCTGCATGTAGGTAGGGATCAAGCGGGACGAAGAAGGGAGTAGCCCAATCATGCGTGAACCGCGCGCCCCATGCACCATGCACAGCAGGGAAGGTGGAGTTAGCGCCACAAATGATGGCAGCAACGAGGGTGCGACACATCTGCCCTGGATGCGCCAGCCGCCGAGGTGGTCCCCCTCCCTCCTGCGTTGAGCCCTTGCAGCGAGATGTGGGCGCGATTGCCCCCGCATTTATCCCTACGCGGAAGACTGTCTGCGATGCCCCGCAGAGAAGGACAGAGGGCAGCACGAAACCTCATTAGACACACAATGACCCTGGCCGATATCGACCGCATCCACCCCTGGCGCCCGCAAGTTTCCTGAGCTCGGGCAGGTACAATTACCAACTGGAAGGGACGTCAGGGTTCTCATGTATTGGCGCAGTGTGTTGCATGATGCAATGAATGCGCCAGAGACCAAGCAAGGTACATGGACCTAACCATTGTATGCAACAAATCGTTGCCAAGCGCGCCCCATGACTCGCATCTTTGCCAGCGAGGAAGGGAAAACCCCTCGAGAACTGAGGTTGGCGAACAAGGCGAGGAGGTCGAGTGGCACCCTCAACGGGCAGGTGTTTGGCGGGACTCCACGTTTCGCACGGGGTTCTCCACTGACAACAAAAACATGGCCAATCCTCATGAGATCAGTCCAGCGGCGAATGGTTCCATCGGATGTATGATCGCATGATTCCCGCACCCACTGCGGGTTGTGAGTCCAATAAATGCTGAGCACATGAACTCTCATGCGATGTCTCATCATCAACTCTTGAAAGTGACCCTGTGACCCTGGGAATCGCCATTGCGGCGTGGCCAGAGAAGAGCAGGCTGAGAGGGAGGGACGGCAAAGGAAAAAGATGGAACAGAGGCGCAAGAGCCATCAATAACCAGGGAGGTTAATCTCGGGATCAGGGGGGGGTCTAAGACAAGGGGAAGGGCGGGCCCAAGCATCCCGCGGGCGGGGCGGGCCGCAGATTTATCTTGAACGCCCTTGCGTCGGTTATCGCGCTGCATGGCGCGTCTCTCATCGATTTGACTGTCGATCTGTTCCCGAGCGAGCCGGTGCCCCCCCGCGAGATGAGACCCCGCGCGCGCTTGGCGGCCCCGCGCATGCGTTTGACTAAGCGAGGTTCGTCCCAGAACTGAACCATGCAGAAGTTGCATTGAGCGCCAATCGCTTGCGCTTCAGATGCAGCGTTGCATTGCTTGCGTGGCTTCGAACGATAAGCTCGGAGTTGTGACGTGCAGAGTCAATGGAGAAACCGCGTGCGTAGCGCGCGGGGAACACGGCATGAAAAGCAATGGGCTCGGCCGGTATAGGCCCGGGAGTTGTCGCGTGAACTTCTTTCGTCCAGGCGCGATGTTTGGACCCCTCCAATCCTGCCAGGCGGCCCTTTGCGCGAGAGCACAAATCGCACCTTTGAACTCTTTCGGGGCGCCCGCGTGGCAATCGAGTGACGCAGTGGCAACATCTCCCTCGGGGCGAACTCTAGGATCCGCGCGTTCGCGAAGCCACGTGACGTCGGGGGCCACAAGTTGAACCAGGACCCTTTCTCTTCCCAAGAGACATCAATGATCATCCGAAAAATGGGCGGCGGGGCACTGGCAGGATACGCAGCACGAACGAGATAGCGAAAGCGATCGATGGGAACTGCACCCACCGCTTTCTGGCCGCGCCATGCGCGAAGTACCACACATATGCAGGGGCGCTCCGTTTTCTCTGATGAGGCATCAACGCGCCGCAGGCTGAGACCAAATGGAAATCACATTATGTAAACCGATATTTAAATCGATCTCGGCAAAAGCAGACCTTTGCCAAATGACTAAATCGAATGGCACAAACCGTCTCCACATTAACGTCATAACAACTCACATTGGCATGGCGGACTGCATGACGGAAGTCTTGATACAAACGATAACATCGTCGAGCCAACGGGCGAGCCGCCTGCACAAGGCCGGGGGATTGACCTCGGCCACCGCGGTCCAGAAACGACCGTCGGGTGCGCGGCCCTCCAGAGGTTGGCGAGGCCGGCCGCTGCTGCTGCAACATCCGCGGGAACGCTTGCAAAGCTTGTGGCTAAGGGCGACAAGTCGAGATGAGCGGCCTAGAAGGAAGCCCGCTTCCTCCAGGCCGTCCCTGACTGACAGAAATCTCTGTCGAGGAAAAACGATGCCTTCGAGCGGACGAGCGAGGCCATCACCAGGGCCTGCCAGATCATGGACGCGCCGGATTCTCCATCGAGCATGGGGCCTGCTTTCTTCGGGCAACTAGCAGGATCGAGACAGAGAAACGCATCATCCGACTTTCGAAATCCACTGCGGCCTGTGCCGAGGGGAGAAGGTCGGGCGGGCCTACCGCGTGAGCGTCCGAACGGAGGCGGGGAGGACCAGGCTGGATGTCGCGCGCGCGCGACCAACTGCCGCGCGGTGGCGTGCCAAGATGCCAGTGCAGGCTCATAATGAGACCAAACAAGATCTCCCAGGGCAAATTCCGGCCCATGCTTGACGCCCCATGCCAAGACGCGGCAGCCGCGGCGCCCTATTGCGCGGCTCAGGCGCCCCGAGCCCGAGAAGATCTCCAGGAGCTCCCACAGCCCCTGGGCGCCCGGAGCGGCGGGCTGCAGGCGCGTTTCTGCAGGGCGCTTGGGAGGCGGCCGAACTGCTCGCTGAGCCCCCCGCCTTTCTCGCAGCGCCTGGCCGACGCGTCGGTCATCCACCGGCCCCTGGCGCTTCACCTCGGCGAGGGGCCGAAGACTGCTGACGAAGTCCCTGCCGGCGCGGCGGAGCAGGTGCGGCGTCGGCTCGGGCGTCGCCCCCAGCCGCCGCGCCGCCCGCCCGTTGGGTCAACTGTAGTGCGTGGCCTTCGTGTGCGCGTCGGTGCGC